AAGAACTTTTAGAAAAAGATAAGGGGAAAAGATGTTTGGTAAAAGTATTTGAAAAACAATTTTTGGGAATTTGATATAAGAAAAACTGACTTTTTGGAAAAGTCAGGAATTCCTAACTTTTTGTGACTTTTCCTAAAAGTCTTTTTGCCCCTTAAAAAGATTAGTCAAACACCCTTTTATTCACCTCTTCTTCATCCCAACATGTATAAAAAAATCCCCACACAAAAGAAGCCATGGTGCTATGCTTTTGTGGAAGAAATGTTGTGATCATAACATCCTAGACATCAAGAAAACCAACTACAAGATTCTGGTCATGTCCAATAATGGAGTCCAATTGCAACTTCATTAGGTGGTTTGACACATAAATGTAAAATGTGCCCAAGGCCTATAGAGGTCATCCCTGGTTTACTCAACCCCAAGAACATTCTACAAGATAAAGTGGAGAAAACGAAGTTTAAAATGATGATTTGGAAGATTGTTTTCATATCTAATTGAGTCTATGGTTAAAAGGTTCGCTTTAGTAGTTGGAATGATGTAGGTCATGGGTTTATTTTAAATTCATGTTATGTTTTGGTGATTAATAGAAAAGATGATCATTGAAATAAGTTTAATGCAAAGTGTTGATCCTGTATTTTTATTTATTTATTATTATTTTTTATTGATATTAAGTGCAAATTGTTGATAATGGTTGTATTTTGGAATCCTGTATTATGAATAACGATAATCGACCAAGTTGATCCTTTAATGGGAAAAGTTGGCCCCGGAAAGATTTGATATTTTGGGGGTTAGGGATTTCTTTTTAAAACCAAAAGTCATTTTTATAAAAGTTCTTTTCTTAAAAGTTCTTTTGAAGAGTAAAAGTTAAAAGTTAATTTAAAAAAATATTTGGATGAAATTTCTTGACTTTTGAATGTTTTTTACCTTTTAAAATGCAAAAATCACAAAAAGATACAACTTCATGATTTTTGAAAAATCTTCTTTTTCTTCTTGACAAAAGGTTATTTTCAAAAGTTCTTTTTAATTCCCAAATATCTTTGAATCTTTTTAACTTTAAAAAAAAAAAACTAAAAATCAAAAACTTATTTTAAAAACAATCCCTTCAATAATGTTAAGTGTATGAGTTCAATCGAGGTATCCAGCCATATAAAACTAAAAATAAGTGTAATGAAAGCACATAAAATGGACATTGCATCAATCACACCAAGATTACACCAAAACTATGCATATAGACATATTTTAACCAAGTAAAACCATAAACTTACTAAAATTATCGTACTAGAGTTTCATAGCGTCATGTAAACAAAGCCAAAATACATGACAAATAAGTAAATACCATTGTTCGAAAGTACACAACCATATTAGTTAACTAACAAGTATTCACCCTTCCTTCTCTTAGACCTTCTCCTCAAATTTCCTTTCCATTATTGACTTGATTACCCTTTCTCACTCGTAGTGGTGGATCTAGTAATGGATCTAGAAAAATATATGTTATTCTTGTAACATGTGGCGCATACAATTACTAACATGAATATTGGTCCCTTTTAACTAAAAACTCGCAATGCATTATTTAAAAACCATCCAAAAATTAAGAAATAAAAAAATAAACACTTAAGAAAGGATAAATACTAAAAGCAATCAATAATTAGTTGCGTAATCATCATATAAAATCAAGGTTGACAAAATCAAAATCTTATTTAAAATTGTTTTCAACTCTACAAGATCGAGATTGAAAATCAGCCTAAAGTCGAAGCATTTCACAACAATAAACTAGTTTGTTTTTTAGTAAAAAATGTAATTACATATAATTGATTTCGAAGAGATTAAAATTTTGATGATAATATTTAGTATTAACTATCAATTGTTTTATAGCTATGGAAATAAATAAACATGTCTTTTAGACTTCAAGCCATAAAATAAATTTTTGATTGTGCCACTTGTAATTTATGTAATTTATGTTGACGTCTAGATAAGCTTTTTTTCTTTTCAAATCCTTTTGTTAAAATTTTGTTTAATAAATTATACAATATTAAATGATTTTTATAATTTGATATATATATATATATATATATATATATATATATATATATATATATATATATATATATATATATATATATATATAAAATACAAAATTCAATAAAAAAAAAGAAAAAAAACCAAGTTAGACTTAAAGGCCCAAATCAATTTCTTAAGATTCTCAAACTCACAATAATACAATCAACAAGAAGTACATCTCATGGCAAATGATAATCTATGACTATTTGCCACCAAATCAAACTACCAATAGGTATGCATATATTGTTTTAAGATATGCAAACATAATAGCTAATATATAACATTTTTTATTTTAAGAAAATAACATACATAGGAAAACTTTAAGGGTATGCAATTATGCATCAAACCCAGCATACCCTTTTGATACACTAGATCCGCCCATCCTCACTCGCTTGACTTTTACACCAACTTGACTGCTTTCTGCTAGACCTCCTTCACATTTACAATCTCTTGTATTATGATCATTGTGTTGAGTTTGATGCAATCAACATATCAATTAAAAACAACATTGCATGGAGGAAGTTGTAAATCAAATTTCATCAAGCGCAAACCATAGATCCAATTAAACAAGGTTTTACCATCTATAAAAACTATGAGAGAATGTCATTATAGTACAATAAACTTGGATGTTTTGTTCGATTTGAGCAATAATGTTTTTATTTATTTTGGCGCAATAGACTATGTGTACATGTCAATTAAGCCATTATTGTTAGTTTTTAATCATTTCTCCGTTAACTAGTAATTCTAAATTATACGAATGACCCTTATGGTTTAAATTTCTTTCGTAGTTGGTCCCTTACCAGCTATGGTTTAAATTAGAAGACCAAAACTACCATATTTTTGAAACTCTGGGAACCAAAGTGTAACATTATGAAATATAATAATTAACCATAGATAATCATCTTTTTACTCCTCATGTCTTTCACGCCTCCTTCTCGTCTCTATGTTGCCTCTCTCTTATGCTTCACACATCCCTTCTCCCTTAGTTGCACTACCTCCAACCTCCTCTAATATTCTAGCGTAGTCAACGTTACCATGAATGTAACGTTAGAGTTTGATGTATTTAAAGATATAACACTATCCTTATTCAGATCTCAAAATATGTCTCAGGTTGAAGTCTAATAGAATCCGATGTATATTGTTCAAGAATCACTCAATGACATCAATCCCTGAAGTGCAATTCTCAAACTAGACCAACCTACTATTCTGTCTCATGAACACATGTGATTTGTTTTGGATCTTCCACTAAGATATGTCAATCTTATGGATGTCTACAAAAACCTTCACAATATCATGGCATATAACCACTCCCATGAAAATAACATGAAAAGTTGGAACACAATAATGCTATATGATAAAACAATGCTCCAAACTATTAAAAAAATACTAAAAATTGTCAATGTTCTAAATATCCAATATACTAAATATTAGTAAAAAGCTATAAGCATTACAAAGTCCAATGCATGCTTTATGATTCTCGTGTTTAATTTGTGGGCATATGCTTAGCAAACAAATATGTAAGGTTCCGATCTCTATGAACTTTTATGATTGCAACCTTATTTGAATCAATAACCTTGCGAATGTAGTGATACCTTCACTTGATATGTCAAGACTTCTTGTTACTGTCGTATACTTTGTTATCATCATAGCTCAACGTTGTCGCAATATATCTTCAAATGATCCTGAATGTTAGGCAGACACTACTTTCTAGTTCACAATGAAATTGCTTATACATGCTGCCTTTTGAACTTCCTCTAATGTGCCAATATATTCTGACCTTGTTAGATTACACAATCGTAGTATGATTGTAGATTCACCAATTAAACACACCCCATATTATAATCATAATAAAGACGTAACTAGATTAGAAGCGAGGATCATATTGATCCGTATGGAAACTAGCAACAATGTGACATTTGACATTTAACTATTCTTTTATGTCTCCAAAAACCATGGACATGTCTTTAGTTCTTCTAAAGTACTTCTTAATATTCTTTATTGCATTCCAATACATTTCCAGTCAAGCCTTACTAAAAATGAATCGACATGCTTAACATATACAAGAGATTGGATCTGGTATATAACATGACGTAAATGATAGATCTAATAGAAGCATATATGATGACTCACATAGGTACCTACTTATTGGGTTTGAGGGACATTGAGAATTGTTTAAAACAATCCTACGTTGCATTGGTAGGTTTCTACGCTTGGAACCATGCATCATGAAATGCTTCAAGATCTTATCAATGTATGTACTTTGAATGAGACCAATAAGTCGCCTTGATCTATCTCAAAGATCTTGATTCCAAAGTTAACAATGTTTGTTTCAAAAGTGCGAGGAAAGTAACAACTAATCTTAAAAGCCAAGTTAAAGTTTAGCATTCCAACTCAATGTTTTCTAAATGTCTCAAACTCCTTTATCTTTAGTCTTCTATTATATATTAATCTGAGTACATGTCAAAATACAAGAAAAAAACTTTACACATGATTTCTTAGAATCATACACTTTAAGAAAGAGTTTTTGATTGTAATATGATACACCATCATAAGTACAAGATACTTTAACAAAAACTAGATATACAATGCATATATAACTACTTTCAAACAGAAATTGATAAACACTATTTGCTTTTATTTATCTATATTTTTCTTGAAGATATAAATAACCCTATTCATCAACCACTGTTTCACTTATTTATAAATACTTTTTAAATAACCACATTAATATCCTTTATAAATTTGTCCAACAAAAATTTGATTTGTTATTTAATATTTTAATAATTTATACAATTCTTAAAATTTTATGTAGATCTTTTTATAACAAATTGAAAACTACTCTATAAATTATTGAATAGTTTACTTAATAGAAAAATACAAACGAACTAAATTAATGTATACTTGTCTTGAAATAGATGTGCATATTATTTGAATTTTTGAATTTCCTCTTGGGAAGAGTGTAGGCCTTAATTACATTTTCAAAATTTGAAAATGCAGATCCAAAGTTTCAAATACATCCAGGTCAAAGTAAAGTTATCACAATTTACCCCTAACTTATACACTTTTTGCAATTCACACCCAACAAAACCCTAGAACACTTCTTGTTTCAATCAAACAAAAACCCTTGGCCCCGACACCCAAAGGAATCAAGCCTTTCGAACCCTAACCCCACAATTCCTTTCGTTCACAGTCTCTTATCTACTCTCTCCCTGGCTTTGTTACCGTTACACATTTCTTAAACCTTCATCCGGTGGAAAGTATAAAATCTTTGGTTTTCAAGTCGGTTGTCAAGTTAACTGTTGTGGGTTTTCGCAATGGAATTAGTGAAATCGTCCAGCTCTGATTTGGGGTATTTACAGAGAAAAATGGCATCTCTCGCCGGAGCGATGGCTTTTGAAAGCCTTTTGGCTGCTGAAATTTCTATTGCTTGCCTCGTCATGATGGTACAAATAATTCTGAATCTTTTACTTTTTCCTTTTTTTCCATTTTGGGTTTCAAAATCACTGAAAATTTTGAAGCTAAATTGCTAAATTCATGGTCTAATTGACTTTTAGTTGTATTTGTTATAATTGGGGTTTTGCTTCTAGGGTTTAATCTCTGTCTTTCATGTCTTTTGGTTTTACGCATAATTACTGTGTTATTGGCTTATTGCTTTTGCTTACTGTGTTAACTAATTGGGTTCTATAGATGCCCACCATGTGTTTGATGCTTGGATCTTATATTGTTTGTTACTACGAAGATAGTTTTTGCCCTTTTAAGTTCCTGTTTAACTTCTGATAACGAGACTTCAAAGTTTTAAGCTTTTATGCTAATTGATTCTTCCTTCCTTTGGTTTTCCTCTACTTCTAAAGTTAATAGTAACCGACTTTCATCTTTGTTCAAGTTTCCAGATTAATTGAGCGATCGACCTTTTTAAACCATTTTCTTGGAAGTTAACCATGTTTCTTGTGAATAATTCTCACATTCAGTTCTTTTTTGTTTCCATTGTGAAGTTGGGTATGATGAAAAGCTCAGAAAACCAATAACGCATAAAGCTGATTGTTCTTTTAGACTTTCAAGCTTTTTTAGTTTTGAAAATAATTATGTTTCTTAAGTTGGGTTATGAAGAAAAGTTCATCTTTTCACTTTTGAGTTTCAAAAATTTTATATTGTTGCCAGCTAGCTTTCCATACACTCAACATCAAGCTTGTCTCCCTTATTGCTGTTTCTTTTTTGACTTAATGAGCCCTGTTATTTATTTATTTATATTTTTATAATTTGGTTCAATTTTATCATTAGAAAATTTGTGTTTTTTTATTATGCAGATGGGACTTCTGCTTGAAGATGGAAGTACATTGCCAAATTTGATTGGAAATGATCAAAGGTAGTAGTATTCAATTCACACACACTTTCTGTTTTTATAATCTGGAATTTTTATAAAAGTTGATTTTTTCTCTTACAGGTTTCCTTTTTCCGAGCTTAACAAGAAGAGTTCAACTGAACTTGAAGCAAAAGATGGAAGTGACACAGAGGATGATGATGAAGAAGAAGAGAATGATGCAGAGGAGCCAGAAGATGATGCTGGAGATGAAGATTTCTCAGGTGAAGAAGAAGCTGGAGATGATGATGATGATGAAGCTGATGCTGAGGAGGATCCTGCTACTAATGGGAATCAAGGTAGTGATGATGATGATGACGATGATGATGATGAAGAAGATGATGATGATGAGGATGATGAGGAGGAAGAAGAAGAGGAGGATGATGATGAGGAAGAACAACCACCAGCTAAGAAGAGAAAGTGAAGCTACATTTGTTGTTAGATGGGGATGTTTTATTATCAAATATGGAGTATGTAGTAGGAATGGTTGACTTGTTTTATTTTATTTTGGTTTTTGTCTTTTTTTTTTTTTTTTAATTGTAGGATATTTAACCATCTAAACCCTTGTTCGTAATGGTTATCATATTTTCATAACTTTCAATGCATAATTCGAGTTGGGGTTCGTGTGAATTTAGCTTGTTAAATGTTTCTTAGTTTGTGTTTGTTACATTCCACTAGTGTTGATTGAGTGTACAAATGTTCTAAGTTTTTTTTGATGATAAGGAGGAGGAATTTACAACTTTTGCTCATACAAGAGATCGAGAATGTTGTTTTCTTGGTGTTTTAGATTTTTGGGTAAAAAATAGTTAGAAATTGGTTCATCTTTTAGGATAAGAGTATCTCTAATGTGAACTTTTTTATATAACTAGATTATGACCTGCGGTAAACGCAAGTAACACATAAAAAACATATAAATGTCTACAAATATTGCATAATAAATAAACAAAAGTATGGTTATTGATATTATTGAAATGTATAAAAGATACATTGAAATCGATAAATATTTATAATCGTTGAATAACCTCTTTCTATACAAAACATTTTTTTACCTTCTTCGTCACATATGGTTATGATATTGTTATATAAGCATAAGTATTCTAATCAGACGTTCCGTCCATAATAAGGTTACTTAATTTAACTCTATATTGAGTATTGACAACCAATATACCGTTTTTTCATTGCATTAAATATTGACAACTATTTCATTTAGTCAAATAAAATCATAGAGTATGTTTTATGGAATTTTAAATGTTATATGGATTTAATTTGAGTATATCATCAATGAAAATTATTTTCAAAATCATTATTGGTTTATTTATAAATTGATTATGAATATAAGTATTAGGTTCTATGTTTGTTCTTATTTATTTGGTATTCGTAAGAACTTTGTATTAATTTTGGTTCTACTTTGAATAATTTTAGTATATCATCAATGTAATTTGGTATATTTTTCTAATATATGAAATATCAAATAATGATATTTCATTACTATTGTGATAATTTAGTTTATATATTGCATTTTTACTAATCTTAACGATCTTATTTTTTTTTTTCTAATAACCATAACGTTTTTACTAATTATACTTACAAATCTCCTAATATCTTATAATTTTTATCTTACTTTATAATTTTTCATAACTATACTATTTTCATGATTGACTGTCTTAATAGTTTTTTTTTTTTTTTTTTTTTCAGTCTATTCAGTTTTATATTTCATTGTACAATATCATCGTTTGTATTCTGAAATTTCATTTTAAAAATACTTAATGCTTACATCTTGATATTTTTTTAATAAACCTATGTAATAATTATGGAATATATATATATATATATATATATATATATATATATATATATATATATATATATATATATATATATCTTGTTTGAATTAACATTTATTTCCTTCACTAAATTAAATTCCTCATTAATTGGATATATTTGGAAAGTAATAATTATAATGGGGAAACATTATCTAAAACATAAATGCTTGATATACTTTTGAAGGGAAAAAATCGGGATTATTAAAAAAAATTATATAAAGAAAATACAAATTTAAATTATGTGTAATCATAGATGAAATTACTGACAAAAATTATTTTGGATGAAATTGTATTTTGTAAAGTATAATAGTATGACAAAATTCGAAATATGTATATTGTTGTGTAAGTTTATAAATTTTATTGTTACTATATAAAGATAAAACAAAGTAGGTTGGGATGTTAAACAAAAAACAATAACTTCAATGAATGTATGTAACTAATAAATATAATTTGAAGATGAAAATTTAAAACTTAAAAGTATGAAGACATGTGATAAAAAAAATGTGTGAAAGAGCTCTAACCACATTTGATCAATTTGTTAGTGAGAAGATCATAAATGAACCCTCTGATAATCTAGAAAAATACTTTAGAAAATAAAATGTTTTAAACACATATACTTAACATAGATCCTGATCAACCAGGTTCATCAACCATTTCTCCCTTGAATTTTCAGTAATCACTTTCATAGGATTAGTCGACACAACCTGATCAAGAAAATCTTGAACAAAAAAATAAACGATTGTTGTATTATAGATATGTTATACAATAAACATTTACGTGTAGATAATGTTAAAATAAAATCTTACCAAATGTAACACGAGTGTTGAGATTCATGGCTATCAAATCCTGAAAAGTCACAAAATTATAAGCATCCACCATAACAACAAAATCATTTGATAAACGAAATTTGGTTGTGTTGTAGAAATTGTTCTTATGCTTATGATCAACCAACATGTAATCTCTTTCATTTCCGACCATACCAAAACTACTAATTTCTTTTACAGACCCCTTAACAAAGAGGGCTTAAAGTGAACTAATGAGATTTTTTTTTATTGTTGCTTGTATTTCAGTGTCATTTAAGTGAAAAAAATTGATTAAGTTTAAAATTTTATAAATTAAAGAAACATAATAATAAAAAGAAAAAATTGTACCTACTCGTCAATTAAAATCATGTATAAGTTGCTGAACATGTTTAGGTTGTTTTTTAAGTTTGCTTCCAAAGCAAGAGTACTTGAACACGAATGTTTCATGTTTTCCTTGGATGCATCGATGTCAGCAACCTTATCATAGACGATCTCATCGCGATTGTTTTGTGCCATGGGTGTAAAATGAAAGAGAAAACAATTAGAATTAGAAATAACTTTTATATGAAATAAAAGGGACGTATACAATTTATTTATCTATAAAGAGGTATGATTTATAGAGAGGTATGAAATATATTATAGTTGTCAACAAAATTGTTTTCATACTTCAATTCAGAGGATGCATAAATAGATTATATATTATTTCCTATTAAATCAACCTAAAAGTGTAATAAGATCATACCAAAATATTTTAAAATCATACCAAAATTAATCAGATTTCTATGACATAATAATTAAAAAAAAATCATAATCATCTTTAATATATAAAAATAACATTTTTCTAATTAGTGTCAATTTCAAAGATAGTTAATTTTTGTTTTGTTAAAGATACGTAATATATTTTCCGGTTTATTTGAAAAGTTTCAGAAAAATAGTTAACCGATTTCATGTAATTTGTGACAAAAAAAATTGGAATATATAAATACATATATTTGATATTGGAACAAAAAATAATAAAAAAAATATAAAAAAAAAATCGAAAGAAGGTACTGACCTTCTACTACACAACAACTAAGGTTTGAAGCAGAGAATGATGATAGAAGTTATAAGCAATAAGAATGATGTTGTAGAATAAGATTTGAAGAAAAGCAATGATTAAAAATAAGTGTGAGCCGCGGATTCAATGATAATCATATATGTAAGTGATAATTTGAATATGATTTTTTGGTATTAATGGTTTCCAAATAAAAATGAAATCTATATTTATGGTTTACTAATATAAACAAATTTATATTAATGGTTGATATTAATGCCTTAATTGAAATTGTTTGTTGTTAATATGTTTTTAAAGCTGACCATAATAAAAGCTTTATAACCGGAAATTTAAGATTTAAAATATGAAAATATTTTATTGGAATTAAATACATTCCATTTTAACGGATGTAAGTTAACTGTGTTTAGCAATTGGAAAACATTTATTGAAATTTAATAAATTCTATTTGAGGAATATGATGTCAGCAATTTGATCTAAAGGCAGAAAACATATGATTGAAATACAATCAAAGGCCGAGATTGTTTAAGATGATATTATAAGATTTTTCTTTTAGTAATATTTAGAGATTTTTTTTGAATGATCACTGCAGAGAACTTATTTGTTTTTTTTGTTGATCACTCAATATATATTGTATTGAATGATCAATATACTTGTATCATTTGTATATATAAGATACCATATTTCAATTATCCATTAATTATGATCAATATACTTGTATTATTTATTTCTAATTTAATTTTAAATATTTTTTTTATTGGTTTACCATTAATTATGAATAATGAAATAGTTACTAACATCTCATTTATAAAATAAAAATTTTATGGCTATATAAATAATGAACCTATATATTTGTATTTATACGTTCGTATAAAAAAACATTTTAGATAAATGTTATGAACTGATCTAAATGATGGTGTTTTATAAAACATTTTAGATAAATGAGGATATATTAGTTAACTTTATAAAAAAAGCTATTTAAATAAGCTTAACCATTGGAGTGCTTATTTATTTATAGGTCAAAACTAATATAAAGATGATACGACACTTATTTTAAGTCATAACATGGTGTAACCACTGGAGATGCTCTAAGAGATAGCTAGTGGCATGGATAAATGTTTTAGTTATGACATTGAACTTTGATCTACCTTACATAAAATATCCTTGTGGGGATGGTGTTGTTGCCTTCATTTATCGCGTCCTTTAGCAATATACTTACCACCCATATGAACATATAAGACTAAAGAATAATTTTAGATTTATTTGATTTCTTACAGATGAATAAATTAATTTTAATTATTATATAGGATTCATGTTTGATTTATAAGAAAATAAAATCTAATTACGAGCCGGGTAGATAAGATAATAACTCGTGAACATTTAAATTCGTAGAAGCTCACTAAGGGAAGTTCATTAAAGAGTAAAGATGCAGGCTAATTCTCTCAAGATTCAAACCATTTGGTTAGGTATTATGGGGAACTTCACAAGAAGGTTGAGAGCGAGGGTATTTTGTTTATGGCTATTTACGATGAGTCTTCGGGTGCACTTTTGGGGTACTTGAACATCTGATGGCATTTAGATTCGTGTGTTTGGAATGTGACAGAATTATGTTGATCGGTGTTAGTTTGTGTCATTTGGGTTTTGCGATTGGGTGTGTATGTTGTAACAACCATGTCTGTGTAAGACTTGTAGTTAAACTACATGCGATGGTAGTAGGTATATACATGTGGATATGAGTGATGATATG